TCAGATCCGAGTGAAAAGTTCAAACACGAAGGAGTTGATACTACCAGGTTGGAGGATATCTCTCATGAAGGATCTTTCACTTCGTTATCTGGTAACTTTTTAATCTGCATTTTTTTTAATCCCAACGATCACTTAATTCCATGCTCACATGTAAACTTAAAGAGGTAATTCAAGATTCTCTTATTGGATAAAAAACATATGATCATTTTCTTGTTGCCTCATGTTTAAAACTAAAATAAACTTTTCAAGCTTATTATGAATTCAAGCTTTGAAAATGGCTCTTTGACTTGGTTGCTAATTTTTACTAGAACTCAAGAGTTGTCATACTGCGGCTTTTGTTTTCATTTTTGCATGAGAGATCATTATCTTTATTATTTAAAAAAAAAAAATTATAACTGTTGAGATATTTATTTTTCTGCAAACAAAAAAATGTCTGTTTACAGGAGATAATGGAGAAAATAGAACTACAAAATCTTTTGGCGAGGTTCATATGGAAAAACGTGTATCAAAGGCAAGTCCACCACGACTGCTCCCACCCCCCGTGTTAATGCTATTTTTGAGATTGCGATACCTATTTTTATGGCTGGTTTATTGCGATTTTCACTGCAGAAACCAGAGGGTCATGATTGTTCGGGGAAGTTTGTGTCTTCCCTTAACATTAAAGATGCTAATTATTCCAGCTGCTGGAAAGATGTTCTTCCTGCCAATAGTCCATCTGTTACCTCTTTTAACTCTCTCTCTTCCAAAATAAAAAGTTCAAATAATCTATCACATCGAGGGAAAAAATTAGTATTGTCGGACAAGAAATCTTCTCAGTATCAGAGTCATGAAGTTGTTGATTTAACTGGCGTTTCTGTAGTGAATAAACAACCAGACAAAAGACTGTTGGTAGGCTGTGCTGCAGAGAAGCGCAAGTTGTTCAGCACTGAGCAGGCTTCCGCAAAAATTATGAAGAATTCTTTTGGGCCTTCTGGTGCTAGACCATCCGAATCAAAAAACCTTCCCTTCAAAATTTGTTCAGTGAAGTCTGAAGTTTCAACATCTGATACCCGAGGGGTGCAAAATGATATTGTTGATTCGACATTGCTACACAGAAATAGTCACACTACGCAGAAGATGGGTACAGAGTCTGACAATCGGAATGACAAGATTATCAAATGCGTTCCTGTTAACCCTGGTGATGAGGAAGCTAAAGGATCTGATTTTCTGAGTCAGGTAAATTGTAACAACAGAACTTTTTTTGTTTTTTAATATAATATCAGGTAATTTTAGTAACCTGGAATTCCTCCCCTAGAGCCAAACTCATTTTGAACTCTTCACTGTTTTGTTTTTATGCCTTCCCTCTATTTTATAACACTCAAACCCATAACTACATTCTTGCTCCTAGGGAACTAACTGACAAACTAACTAATCTACATGGCCAGCCTGGATGTATAACACTTCCAGCTGCCAAAAAATCACCTTGTCCTTGAACCGTTTTGTCAATGCTACAACTTTTTTCTTGTCACGCTGCTTTGATGTTGGGCTTAACACATATCTACGGTTTTGGAGCCAACACACATCGAGGCTCTTTTCTTCTTTTTCAGCTTTTTGTTTATCAATGTCATGCATCATCAGCTTCAGATCCCACGACCAATCCTCAGATTGGTGTAGACCATTTAGGCACCTGAATCTGAATCAATTATTGTGGGCTGCTTGTCTTAAAACACCTAAAAATGTTTAATGCCATCCTTTTCTTTCCAAGATGCTAAATATTTAGGTTAGAGCCTTCATTTATTTTTCTGTGCGTTTCTCAAATCTTTTTTGATATGTAGACATTACCATCCTAAAACATTATTTCTTCTTATCGTGAAAAAAAAAAAACATAATTCTTCTTGGGAAAATGATTTCTGTTTTGAGCTTTCACAATGAACCATCGCCTTTCCCTTTGGACTTTCTTAAAATTTTGTAATTGAATTCTTCTATCCATCCATAATTATGTCTTGTCCTGACAAAGTTATTGTTTTTTATGTTATGATAACCACTATTTTCCAAGATGTCTTGCAGGTCAGAGATAAACTTAGTGCCAGGGAATACAAGGAATTTGTGGGGTTTATGAAAGCACTGAAGACCAAAGCAATGAATATAAGCCAAGTTTTGCAGTCCATCGTAGGAATATTTTCAGGGCCTGACAGGCTATGTCTTCGTACAGGGTATATTCCTTTATCATCATGAATAGTTTATTTTGTGCTTAGAAGGCTGGTTTATATGGTTGTCTTATTTTTCTTATTCCAACTTTAATTATGGGATACCTTTAGGCTACTACTTCAGAGGCTACGTCATAGTCATAGTCAAAGTCTGTATTCTATCTTCTTCATGCCCATGTTATGTAAATGTCTAAGAATAATTTATGTTTTATTCTAGAATTTCTCATGCTTCCATATCAGATAAAGTTTCATGACATGTTACCTCAAGCGCATCATTACAATGATTCACAGTTTTTTTCTGTATCTTTATTATTATGTGATTTAGCTAGGAATACATAAGTATTTGTGGAAATGCTATAGCTAAAATCATATTCTGCAGATGTCGGGCCCTCTGGCTGATTTGGATACTCATTAAAAGAATATACATTTTTATAGGCATTTTAGAAGTTTTTCTTTTTCTGATACATCGTGGTTTGTGTGTCTGATGTGGTGTTCAACAAAATCTGACTCTCTAACTGGGTTATAATTTGATTATCTTCATTTTTATAGGAATATTTCTGAAATATCACATTTTCCAGAATCTTGACATTGCATTTATACTTCTTTTTTTTTTTTTTCCTCATTTATGGCAAATGTCAACAGCTTCAAGGATTATATCCCTGCAAAATACCATTCCTTGTACGAGCAGTTCCTTGGTACCTGCACGTGACATTAACGTAAGTATCTTTTTCCCGTGTGCTTTTGACCACTCTGTACTGAGATTTGATTTTACAATATTTTGATTCATACATGTAAATATAAAAAGAAATCCCTTTCATCATTTGCTAGTTTCGTAATTAAAAAGGATTGTTGATGCAAGTTTATTGAAGAGTGGCTGCTCCAAAGCTCTTTCAGCTTGGTGGTTGAAAGATACAGCTAGTATTATATTGATATGCATGACTGGAGCCCTTTTGTGGAAAAAAAGGATTCATGTGATAGTTTTTGTGACCTTAATACCACATATAGTTCACGATCTCCTGTCAGTATGTTACACAAGGATTTCTTTTATCCGTAAATACAGCTTTTTTTTTCCTTTAAAAAATCAACCTTGGCTTTAAGGTTTCTTTGTAAGATGCTGGTCTGAGAAAGAGATTAGTAGTCTTTTGGTTTAATGTCCTGAAGATTGTGTTCAAATTCTATTCTATATAATCATAAATAATAATTGAACTCGCCATTCAAGAGATGTTCTATTAAAGCATGCTTTTTGCTTCCATTTTTATAATGATTTCCTCTTCATGCATGGGATTCATGGATTAAAATGAATTCGGTTAACATGGCTTCTTTATCTTGCAGCGCAGTGCTTACCCATTGCACCAATTCGATAGCAACTGGAACAGATGCCAATTCAAAAGCCAGCTGGGTTTGGTCCTAATAGAAAAGAAAAAACGAGTTTAACATCTTTATGTTGCAGCAAGATCCTGACCGTTGAATCGCTGAAGCACAAAGCTTGCTTGAAGAACGTGCAACTAAGCATAGGGCTGAGGGAGGAGGAATCGTCTCAGTGTGAAAGTTATCTAAAACTCTCTCGGACTGGCCGGCCAAAAGTGGGCACCGTTGATCCCTTGGAGCGACACTGAAAAAGTGGAAACTGCTACCAATTGGCAGAATGTTCACCATCAAACTGATGTGAATTAAAGGAACAATCGGATAGCCTTGTAAGGTATAATTTTATCTTTTTTTCCCCTCTTTATTTATTTATTTTATTGCTGTAATGATTAAGATTTAGGTTTATTTTGTGATTAGGATGAATCCCATCTTGTAGTCGAGATGGGAAATAAACTTTTTTTCTTTAATATTTATTATTGTTTATTAGTCTCTCCTAATCACAATATCTTAAGAAGAGGGATAATTTTTTCATTTTTTCGATTATCTTCATCAATAATTTTGATATTTTAGATTAAATTATAAAGTATATTCGGAAGTTTGTATCTATTTAGTCTAATTTTAAATTTGTAAGTATAAGTTTTTAAATTTTAAATTTTTGCATTTAATCTATTTCTTAATATTTTAAATTTGGATTCTATTATAATTAATGCAACTATAAATTTTTAATTTTGTGTTTTAAATTCGATTTTTTTAATAAAAAAAATAAGTGTTTGATGATGTAATGGACATAATTGGCAAAATATGCACTAAATACAAATTTCAAACCACATGAACTATACTTTTAACTTATTATAGATTTAGCTCCAATTTTTTTTTTTTAATCTTTTAATAAATTATTAATTTTTAAAATAATTCTAATAGATTTTTAAAACTTTTAATTTTAGTTAAATTATACAAAAATATATTTTTTTTTTATTTTAATATTTTTCAGCTTGCATTAGACTACAAACCTTAAATGAAAAAATTTGAAAAAATAAATTATTTTGTTTTCTCATTCTCTTCGAGGCATCGTAAAAATTAGATGAATCTAAATTTCGAGGCATTGAAAAGTCAAGATTGTTTAAAGTTTTGCTCTAGTTTATAAGCATGATGGTAAAAAATACATCATAAAAAGATCAATAAATTTATAAATTTGTGTTAGTATATAAAATCAATTTTTTAATTTTTAATTTATTTATTTATATAAATTACAAAAAATTTTGGATAGATCAATAAATTTAAAAAAAATGAAAATAATTTATTAAATTTATAACCTAAGAAATAGTTTAAAGAATTATGGAAAGAAAATTAAACTTGAACATGAAACATATTTTTAAAAATTTGATTCCATTTTTTTAGAGAGAGAAAAAGGAGGGAAAACGGTGAGAGAGAGAGAGAGAGAGAGAGACGGATTCCAAATTCTATGTTCACTGTGATTCGGAAACAGAGTTTGAATTTACTTCAGAAAAATGTAGAATACATTTGTTTACCATCATCTCCTTTGAAGTTGCAGAATCACAGAACAGTTCTTCCCTCACTTCTCTGTGTATTCAGGTTCAAAGTCGATTATTATTCTATGAAATCTTTGATTTCACTTTCAACGTCCTTCTCCGTAGCAGATTTCACAGCATTTTCCTCACCATTCTCACGCTTCGCACTGTTTGCGGCTTCGTTGGAGCCTCCTCCGCCTTCTGCCGCAAAATCACTATCAAATCAACGAAAGCGTTTAGTATGTATTTGTACGACTTCTTATCGTTCAGATTTAGGAAGCTGAACAGAAGCTCTTCCATAAACTCCCAATCGACTTTCTTATGTTGTTTCGAATGAGCATCCATCATCTCTTGCATCGATCGACGAAATTCCTCTGACGGATTCGACGACCGTCTCAAAATCACGATGCAATCGCTCGGAAGTTTCGGATCCTTGCCTCGATCTTCAGAGATCAAAGACGAAGAACTCGATCCGGCATTTTCCAACGATTCTGCTTGAGAATCGTCCGGAAGAGATTCAGATAAGCCAGGGGAGAAGAAGAATCGATGAGATCCATCGTAAGAATCAACCAGCGATTCAGGTGAAACTCCTCTGTGATTCTTTCCATCTCGACCTCCTCCTCCTCCTCCTCCTCCTCCTCCTCCTCCTCCGTAAGAATCAACCAGCGATTCAGGTGAAACTCCTCTGTGATTCTTTCCATCTCGTCCTTCTCCTCCTCCACCTACTTTTCTCTCAACACAATCTTCATCCTCTTTCAGGTACAACGATCGGAAGTTCTCGAAGAGAAATCGGTCGACATCGGCGAGCGTTGCTGCGGCGTCGTCATTGTTACCAACGCCGTCGGTTTCCTTCTGATCGATAGCGAACGATAGGGTCTTCGGATGCTTACAACCAGACAGAATCCAACTTTTTGAAGACGAAAAAGTTTGGGGATTAGGAAATTGAATCTGCGGCGTTGGCTTCTTGATCTTCGCGAGGTAATCCTGAAGCGATTTCTGCAATTTTTTGGGAATTTTCTTTTTGTTCTTTAGATTCATGGCCAATTTGGATGAATTTAGCTTTCTTTTTGGTTTTGGTGGGAAGAGTTCCGTGAGAGAACTGATTCTTATAAAGAAAAACAAACCAAAGCAAAAGAAAGGAAGTAACATAAAAATATTAATGGCCTAAAAAATACGTTTTATAAATATAAATTTTTTTAAAAGAAATATTAAATTAAAGGGATGGAATTCAACGGCAGTTGGTTGACTTATAATTTTAATATTAATTTAATTTAATTTTACCCTAAACATCGAACTTAGTCATTACTAGAAGAATTAAAGCCCAAATTTCGTAGAATGTAATTATGGTTTGTGGGGTTTGGTTTGAATAAAACCGTACAATAAATTATTTATTTATTTATTTAAGTTTATGGTGGAATAAATGAATTCAGGCTGAATTTAAAAAAATTAATAGTTTATAGTCATTTTCTTGGTTTAATTTCACCCCTTTTTATTTATTTATTTATTTATTTATGTATGTATGTATGTAAATAAATTTTACCTAACTAAATTGATAAAAATATTTATAAACTCTATATTTGGTTTAAAAAATACCTCTAAATTGTTATAAGTTTTAATTATCTTTAAACTTAAAAAAAAAATTAAAATTACATTTATGGTTACCGTTAGTATTTTATTTTAAAAATACTTTTAAATTTTTTAATGTTTGAAACATATTCTTAAACTTTTAAAAATGTCATTAATACGATTTACCTTTATTTAAAAAAATCTTACTGTAAATATATAGACGAAGGCGGTTTATCTACAATTTATAGATTATCTCCAAACTTTTTTTAAAAAAAAATAAAGAGTATTCATAAAACTTTTGAAAATGGTATTTTCGAAACACTTGTAAAAGTTAAAAATTCTTTTTGAAATTCTTTTGAAGTTAAAGGGTATTTTTTAAAATCAACTATTCAATCCAAAACCTAATTGTAAGGGTATTTTTGAAAAAAAAAAAATAATTTTTTTTTTATTGAAATTTTTTGAAAACTTGTGTCTATATTTTTTAGATGAGAAATATTTTTATTATTTTAGCCTATTTTAAATTAAAAAATATATCTTTTATTTTTAATTTATTTTGTTCTGATATAAGATTAAATTTAAGATTGAATTTGTTGAATTTGGAAAAATTATTATGATTTTTGTTTAGTACAAGGAGGTTGGAAGTGATGAATGTTAAATAAGGATTAGGATACGTTTACCCAATAATTGCTTAAATTGTTTCTTAGAATATAAATGGAAACTATAATCAATTTTTAATTTCTCACTTTTAGAAAGTTCTTAAAATGGAGAAAGAATATGAAATCTGCATTTAGCCACAATCTACCGTACTTTAATTTACTTACTAATAAACATATTTAAAATTTAAAAGTTGTGATATATACTTCTTTTTCGAAGTCTAAGATTCAAAATTTTCAAAAAAACTTTAAAATAATAATTTTGAAACAATTTTAAAAGTCAAACTAGATGTCTATAGTCAAATCTACTCGTTTAGTTGACTAAAATATTAAGTTTTGAAGAGCCATACTTATTTTTCTTAAATCAAACTTTGGAAACATTCCAAGTCATGGTCAAGTGACCTTTGGTCTTCACAAACAGCCTTTGGACCCAAATAAAAAGCTTATTTATTTATTTCTAACGAAATTATAAATGGGTTTAGTGTATAGTTTGAAATTGTAATGGATTGTATGGTTATTTTAATATTTATGAGATATATAGTGATGAATGATGTGGGGAATAAGTGGGCATTATTTGTTCTTCAAGTTCTTACCAGTGATGATTGAGGATGCAGTGGTAGAATTGAGGTAGAGCATGCCTATTTGCAGTGGAAATCCAATTCAGATTCGACTTTTGGTCAATTTTTAGGTAAAAATCCAAACATTTGGAATATTAATGTTTATATGGAGAGTGGTCTAAGCGTCAAAAATTCAAGCTGAATTCAAATACCACTTTTGAAATTTTTGTATTTTTTTTTTAATTCAAATAGAGACTATAATTTAATTTTTTTTTTTTTTTTTTTAATGTTAATTAACTCAAGTCTAAGGTGAGGAAGGCCTAGCTATAAAAAGATTGAAAATTACTAACTATATAAATAAGGTATACCTTTGGTGGCTCAATCATCGAATCACTACCTATACAAATAAGGTGCACCTTCAGTTGCTCAATCATAGAATCACTACATAGAATCACTACCTATACAAATAAGATGCACTTTCGATGGCTCAATTATATAAGCTTCATAGTTAAACTTTTCATAGCGCTTCGCAGTTAAACAACATAGTTTAGTTAGAGTAATTTTATGTTGCGTGACATGTAAGTGAGGACAAATACATATATATATATATCATAATAAAAAAAATAATAATAAATTTTCATGTGTCAATGCCTAATACCCTTACTGCCTCCTCCTACCCTTTACACAAAGTTTGGCTTCTTCCCTTCAAACAGAATTGTTCACACTAATTCCCAATGCCCAAAGACTCATCCCTTCTTCTCAACTCCATACCAACTCTTTCTTCTTCTTTTTTTCTCTCCCTTCCATTCAAGTCATAGAAAGAAAAAAAAAACTCATCACAGAGCCACTGCCTTTGGCTTCGCCGGCGGCAGCACAGGAGGCTATCCGGCAGCAGAAAAGGGGCAGTAAAACAAGTGTATTTTCTCGCCGACGAACCCACCAAGATCCTTCCAGCTGTAGAATTCATCAGGGAGATTATAAATGGGTTACTCGGCTCTGCAGCTTCATTAGCTGTGTTGAAATAATAAAGTGAATTAAATGAAACGTAATTGTGGTGTGATGAATGGTGCTCATCAGATCCTTCTCAAAAAGAGAAATTTATGAACTTAGAAGATCAAAAAAAATATGGAGATACAGAATTCGCCACTAGAATTGGCTTGAACTATAAGAATCCATTAGAAAAGTGATAACAACCCGATTAGAAAATTAAAAGATGCTATGAACTATATATATATATATATTGTGACTATAATACTATATTTCAATATTATAAAATATAACAGAGAGATTGAAAATAAACAAGCAAGAAGAATCAAGAGAAACAGAAGAACCTTTAACTTGCTTCCTCTCTGTTCATGTTTATGTTCCAACTCGCGCTGTTGTTTGACTCTGTGGCCTGTTGGGTAGTGGCTGTGATATTGATTTTAAGTGCCTATACATGCGTGAACAAGCAAGAGAAAACTCGAACAATGCCCTGAAAAGCTCTGGCAGCTGGTTTTTTAGGCTCCCCAAAGACTTTTCCCTCACATGGAGGCATAGCTTTTGGTGCTCTTCCCTTTCCTCCTCCAGCCTTTTCTCCACGGCCTCCACTGCAGCTTGCCGCTCTGCAATGGCATCTTTGTCACCAGTTTCTTCTGGATTCGCTTCATTGGAATTCGGTGCTCTCCGCTGCACATACTTCTTCTGCCAATCCTTGAATTGCTTACTTTTCCGGGCAAGCTCCTTCTCAGTCTCTTGACATTTTGCCTTCAACTTCATCTCTTCCTCCTGGCTTTGCACAATGGTGTTGATCACAGTTGCAAAAGTGAATATGGCGTTTCGTAGGACCTCGTCAGGGAGCTTTTCGAGATGGTCCTGCCAAACATGGAGGAGGCTTTGAATTGGAGGGCTGCGGACCCTTGGAGGAGAAGAAACCTTCTCCTTCAAGCTGCTTTCAGTAGGGATCAGATTCAATCTCAACCAATTTGAGAGAGCCTTAATGTACTCTTTTTGACGGGTTACAAGCTTCTCCAATTGAGAGTGCCACTCCTGCACCACAGCCCAAAGCTGCACCGTGCGCTCATGGTGGTGATCACTTGTTTCCTTTGGCGACTGAGGTATATCCAGAGTTCTCAGAGCAGCCACGGCCTTCAATTGACTTCCATGGTGGAAATGCATGATTTCCCACATACTGGCCATTCTACAATTCAACCCAGAACTTGATTAATCTCATCATTGTTGATACACTACCTACTTTTTTCATGTTTTATTTTCAGAACACAATTGTTTTCAAATGGGTTCTAAAGTAATCAAATTAGGCATGGTTTTAGAACAGAGAGATCAGTTTTACCCATTGACAAGCTGAACAAGTTTAGGATACAATTGTTCATCTCGAATGCGGTTGATCTCAGAGACAGTGGAATCCATGGATTGCATGTCCACAATGTATCTGGTGTGCAAATGGCTGACAGTTGCCTTGGCTTTCTCGATTGCTTCAAAATTGGAGCCTTTTTTCTTCAATTTGTTCAGTGCAGCAACCTTCTTTTGGTACTCAAACTTCATGACTTCGCCTGCCTATTCAAAAAACAGTCAGAACAAGTGATTTTTTCATGGCAATACATGAGAAGGATTCAATGTTTATAACCTTCACTTCTTCAAATAGTTTCTTCTCCCAGGCAAGCAATTTATCCAATACAGTGGCATGAGTTTCATGCTCCTCTGTGTCAAAATCATCATTCAAATCATCGTTGTTGGGCAACCCTCTAAATGATCTGTTCCATGTTATAACACGCATCACTCTAGCAGAATGATCGATATGTCCTGAGAGATCAAATTCCAAAAACAAGTCGGAACAGTTTCTCAAGCAATAAATTAAAGTTCTTCTGTTCCCTCAAACGATTGAGTGATTAATTGTAAACTTGATATAGAAATCCAGACGAATACCTCGATTATCGGCAAAATTTGAGTGGAAATGAAGCCGAGTGGCTTCGAGCATCTTCGAAACATCGTGAGCACTTTCAGAGGCTTTAAGAAAATGATCATCAAGCTCCATGAAGATCTGCAGCAGACTAGTATTCCCTTTAACAGCCCTTTTACCCTCGATCGAACATGGAAAACCTACTTGCTTCAACTTCTTCGACGTTTTCCCTGCTGAAGACGACGGCAGTTCTCGGCCGGATTCCTCCGCCGCCGCTCTCCGCTCTATCGCTTCCGTATTAGTACCAAAATCCTCGACGCTGCTTAACGTCGGAGCTGGCATATTTTCAACCGAGAACAGATAATCGTAGGTTGAATCCTGAGGCGAGGGCGAGTGAACACGACGGTTTTCGTTCGGAGGCGGAGGCAGATTCAGTGAAGGCGGCAATGGCGGAGGTGGACCGTTTTCTTCCTCCGCAAGCTCCCCAAGGCCGGTTCTACTGCCACGTCCACCGCCTTCTCTATTGCTTCTCCTCCGCAATGGACCAACCGAACATTCAATCTCAAAATCATTCTCATCCACCTCCTCAATAACCGGCTCCACACGCTTCGATTCAACCTTCGAGGCCTTGATTTCAAACATACTCGTACCGTTCCGAAGCGGCATACCGGGGGAACCAGGAAGCGGAGGGGGTGGCGGAGGCAAACTATTATAAGACGCCGACGCCGCCACAACTGCCGATTGAGCAACAGCTACGCCAGGGAGAGACGACGCAGCTGGCGGTACCTCTCCATGAGCGTAATCGCTCAAAACAGCGCCAGTGTTCTTCAACGACATAGCATATGAAGAATGCGCCGCCGCAAAGGCATTCCGAGCAGCGACAGCTTCTTTCATGAACATCTTCCGATCCTTACATCGGCAAACCACTTCCTCATTCTCGATCTTGGATTGTGAACAACCCATCGGAAAACAATATCAATAAAACTTCTCTGAGAATTGAACATGAAGGTAGCCTAAGCTTTAAGACAAATTTAAGCGAATCAAGATCTACTTTACACTTGAGATGTTCTTCGATGGGCGGAAAAAGCGAAGCGGTTTCTTTCATTTCTTCGTAGCGATTGTTCCTTTAGAGAGAAAAGGCAAAAAGAAGAAAAGGTCGCACTCGCAGAACAAAAATGGAGAGGACGACATCATACGTCGTCGTTTCAAACGCCTTTATACTCTCTTAATTTTAAATATAAATTAAATAAGATAATTAAGGAAAAATATACCTTAGTTGTAAATATTTAATTGGTTTTGGCAACTTAACGCAAGGTTTTTTCTTTTTGATATTCCATTTGTTATTATCATTGACCCGAATAATTTCTTTTTTATTTTTTTATGTTTTTTTTTTTAATGGCTAATCGAATTTGATTCTTTTCCTATTTAGTTTCACTTTTAAATCAAATTGAAATTACCATAAAGTATTCTTTTAGAAGCTTTACATCGCTAATATATATATATATATATATATATATATATATATATATATATATATATATATATATATATATAAATTATAAAATTATTATAAAGTATTCAATTTCTCGATGTGTTCTCTTATTTTTTTAATTTTTTTTGGTTAAATATAACAAATTATCCTCGTATCTCCACAATAACAGTATATTATTTTTTTTTTTATTTTGTTATCTCCACGTCATAATTTAGTGTAACTCATTTGTAGGTGTTAGTTAATAGCTTGTATCTTATTTTATCGTTGTAAATATCAATTAATATTGCATATTCCAATTCTATTTCTCATTCTTATATTGTTTATTTAGTAATAATATTTTTGGATCTATTCACACTTAAGTGGCAGATATTGTGTCACTCTAGAAATCCCACATTTTTAATATTTTATTTATTACTATTTTAAATCTTAAATTTTACATTAAAAATAATTAATATTTTCATTAACGTTAATATATTATCATTTAATTGCACTATCTAATCTATAATCTGACTAACTTAAATTACCCAACTCAAATCATTTTTTTTTTTTTTTTCAATTTGATTGGGTTGAATGTTTTAAAAACCAAAATTTTAGGTTGGTTTGGTGGTAACATCTATTTAGACGAGTAACGTAACCAACTTAAAAATAGGGTCACAATCTAAGGAAACCCTACTTTTTTAAAAAAAAATTAAGAATATGTCGGGTATAAACATAATTTTTTTAATAATTTAAAAAATAACAACTGGACAACTCAATCCAACTCGACAAAAAAATTCTCTAACTCAACTCGGGTACGTAAATTAGGGCATTAATTTTGGATGAATTTCCCTTTTTATGTGAATTTCGAAAAAGAAAATGTGGGAAAATAGATTGGACATAAATAATGACAAGGATTTTGATGATTTTGAGGAAGGAGAAAATTTGTCTGTTTGTTTAAGAATAAAGTGGGGGAAGAATAACAGGGAGTGGACCAATCATGAAATCCTTTGAATTAACGACTCCCGATGTTGTCTTCCTTCTTGTCGTAGATTCTCCGACAACCCAATTACTTCATGTTCTTGTAACCAAGATTAAACTTGACTAAAAAATGGCTCTGAAAATATCACAATCAACGTGGATCATCATCATATTACACCCTTTTTACATCAATTTTACTGCCTTTTCTTCAAGCTACACATTGTAATTGCAGGTGTGCAATTGGTCTAGTTCGATTTCGACATTGTTTACTTCTCTTTGAGCGCTGCAAACCGAGCTGCGAGCTGGTCGTAGTCCGGGAGCTTTGGATGAACGTAGGAATTGGCTCTAGCGTGCTTTTTCACTGGCTCGATCGGCTCGGTTCGGGCTGTGGGAAGTGACAATGATTTGGCTGGGACATAAGCATCCTCAGTTCTTGTGTTTTTGGGCCTTTGAGGTTCGGCATTGTCTTTGTCTTCCTGTCTTGTATTCTTCTTACTGTATATCTTCAAAAGCCCATCTAACATCCTTTCCTCATCATCCTCTTCACCTTTTTCTTCTCCTGTCATGGCTTCTTTACCTTTGTTTTGACCTGAACTAATCTTTCCTGCACCGTCGGCTGCCGAACCACCAGAATCATCGATGTTGATGCTCCTTGCAGGCTGTGGTTTTGCATGTCTTCGCCTCACCGATCTCGGTTTCGGCTTCTCTTCTGTGGTTGTCTTTGGATTGTTTCGCTTCTCTTCAGTAACGTTTTGAGGTTCCTCCACATTTTCTTCCTTTTTGGTAGGCTTTGTTTTAAGGTAGGGAGGTGTGATAAATCTAAGGTAGAAGGGTTTCTGATCTTCTACTTCATCCTCTGAAACAATACCTTTATGAACATCTTGATCGGTACTACTATCTCCCATCGAGGTTTCGGTTGTGTTGCCTTCACTTCTACTATCGAAGATGGAATCGTCGTCACTATTGTCCTTTTTTTTTGGTGAGTTCGTCGTTCTACCGTACACCGGAACGGAAACGATCTTACTTTTGCTTCGATTGGTGGATGTACTCCGTTCACGAACTAGCTGTGAAGAGAATGACCATTGCAGTAGATAGAACCATCAATAGGATGAAGAGAGATCAACACAAACAGATAAGAAAATGGATCATACTCCATTCAATGAGTCGAGCCTCGATTAAGGGGAGACTGTTCAGAGGCTCTATGGTGTACTTCGTTTGAGGGGAATAATCATGGGTTTATAAGTAAGGAATACATCTCCATTAGAATGAGACCTTGTTGGTGAAATAAAAAACAAAGCCACGAAAATTTATGCTCAAAGTAGACAATACCATACCATTATGGAGAGTCGTGATTCATAACACTCACCTTGATAAAAAACAAACAAGATCAGAAACGAACTTACTTCATTTTGTGGAGGAACATACAGTTGCTGTTCCAGAGCTTTGGAATTCCAATCAATGGCGGATTCCTGTGCTATCTCCTGGAGTAGCTGAAGCTTTGTTTCTTTAGTTTGAGCCACTGCCCTCAACTTCTCAACAAGCTAAAAGGAAAAGCAAGAACTAAACAACCATTTAGGATAGTAAAAAGAAGAAACTCCCTCAAACAAGAGAAGGGTTACCAAGAACAACCTCTTTGTTAGTAAATGATCCAAAAGAAGTTCCATATCTCTCAGTGAAGAGACTTCGGAGCACTCGCAATTCAGGCAAGTCGGAGAATCTCGCTGCAGCGTAAATCAACGACGCAACCGCTTCTTTGCATTCGTCGGGGCATTCGCTAGAAGAGAAACATAAACATGGGAAGCACGTTTAAATTCATCTCAACAAATTCAAGCCTGAGAAAGAGAAATGTACTTACAAATCAATGGTATCTACCTCTCCTTATTCAAGACAGAAATGTGGTTGAAGATTGTCCCACAAAACTCATCAATCAGATCATAGCATCTCAAGACATTTTGCTCAACAAGAAACCCTTCAGCCTATTTCACCATTAGCATAAGCACATAGACTAGCGACCAAAACCAGAGAAAATAAACCAAAAATTCTCTTACAATCATCCGAACACAAAGAATTAAGAACAAGCACAGAACACAAAAGACATTAAGATTATGGGTTTCTGATAGATTTTACATTTACTAACAAAGAATCAAAGACGAACAGAGATCAAGAATCTAAAACCGAGATTAAGAATGAGATTCGACAAGAAGAACTAACCCTGTTGTAAGCATTGTAATCGAGACGGCTCTTGAGAAGTTCAACAATATCGTTCTTCAAAAACTTGAGAACGACTTTCTTCTTCTTCCGAATTGTATCCAGACGAGTCTTCGTCATCTTGACGCAAGATTTGCTACATTAGAATGAAAAAGGGAAACAGAAATCAGTAAGAAGAACCGCCAGAAAAGTAAGAATCAGAATCAAAATCAATCCAAGAGAAAAAGTTAAACGAAAAGCTGCGAAATACCATTTTGTATAGAACTTCGGCTTGAAGAACATTCTGAACATTTTGATAGCAAAGTAAAATCGACAGGAAACGGAACTTTAGGGGTTAAAATAAGGAAGAAAACCGAAGAATCAGGCAAATGGGGAATCCAAAACCCCAACAACAAGGGAATAGAAGAATTTCTAAATTGAAATCGGTAAAAATGCACTAAGAATCTAGACACAAAAAAACCATAAGGACAAGAAAAGAAAGAAGAGAAATAAACCATACGCCAAGAAAGAACAACTCCGGGTGAAGGGGAGTTAAAAAGAAGGGATGAAATGGAACAAATCCACATCCTCCATTGAAGGATCATCACAACATCATCAAAATGATGGCCGAGAAATCAACCAAATGGAAGAACATTATGAACAACATGCACAGAAACGATAATGCAAGAGAAACAGAGAAGCTTCACGACAAAAAACATACACAAAAAACAGTAAACAGAGAGAGATAGAGAGGAAAGAAAATGGTGGAGAAGAATCTGAAATACGCGAAACAGGCACTCGAAGATCCCAGCTATGGAGGAGGAGGAGGAGGAAGAAGAAGAAGAAGAAGAAGAGGGAGGTGCCACGTCGGACGCTGCCTTTCCATCTAAAATTAAAAACGCGCGTATCCGTACGATGGGTTGTGAAAAGACCACAATACCCAAAAGTTAAATAATTTATTTTTTTATTTTTTTGTGAAAATTCGTTGGGGGACCGTATTCGGCCAGGCCATTTGGAGAAGTAAAATCCAATGTGATAATTAAAATAAAAAATAAAAAAAATAAAAAAAAATAAAAAAAAGAAAAAGAAAAAGCGAAGGGACGGGAATTTAGCGGGGAAGACAAAACGTGCAGCCGTCCGTTCATAGCTGCCATTCCCTAACCGATTTGTTTGGAACTTTTTCATTATGACAGTTTTGCCCCTATTTAAAATTTCGGCCACAATCTTTTTCATCTGATTTATAAAATAAAATAATGCAGTGTAATTAATTAATATTGGATTATAAATTTTTATTATTTGTCATCTCTATCAACAAATGGTTCTATATATAAATATTTGTTTTTAAATTTTAAATTGAAGCGTTACAAAATTAAATCCATCCCAAATTATTTTTAATTTCCAGTGTTTTTTTGTAATTTAATTTACAATTTTTTGTTTTTTTTATAAATAAAATAAAATAAAATAAGGTTTTATCTAAAATAATAATTCACACAGAAATCACATCCCTATCACGTGCAATGCGTTGTGGTGTCTATAAATAACAGCCGATTATAAATTTTTGGCAATCGCTAGACGTCAATTGGCGCGCTGGAGAGATCTCTGTGTGATCTCTTCGACGCGGGAGAGCCAATTTCTCAGCCATGTCGGCCAAGCGGTGAGTTATTTCCTTAGGGTTATGGAAAAATTTAGCGTTGTATTACTATTTCATCTCGGCTGTGGTACCATCGTTGTCTATGCTATGATTTATAATCTTCCTTTTTTTTTTACCGATTTAAATCGCGGTATGGAGAATCGGTCTTTGTAGGAGGGAAAGCAAAGGCTCTGAAGCATCCCACGGTTGATAAGAAAAATTACGACGAGGTATGCTTTGAATTTATTGTTTTATGGATCTTTGTTTTGGATGCAACTTTTGGGATCGAAGAATTTGAATCTGCATTACTTTTGTTGTTTGCTTGTGTGTTCTTGGGTAGAAATCACGATACTGGATTGTTTGTTCTTGTTCGTATAATTGGGGTGGGTTTGGGGGCGATACTGGATGGTTTGTTCTTACGCCTTAGGTGGAGTTTGCCATTTAAATAACGAATTGACAAGTCAAATGCCTCTTTTTTGGTCTCAATCTAACCAAGTAGAATGCGTCTCCACCTTGTGTTGTGCCCAAGGAGAGTTTCTTCATGTTCTTTGCAAATCTGTATTATTTGCTTCTTCTCCACTCGATCATCCCAATTCTTTTTATCTTCATCTCGGAAACATAAGACTAAAGCGGTTACTCTTATCATAACCTGGCTCTCATACCATTTGTAACGGTCCAAATGCATCGCTAGCAGATATTGTCCTCAGGCTTCCCTCAAGGTTTTTAAAAGGCGTCTGCTTGGGAGAGTTTTACACACCCTTGTAAAGGATGTTTCGCTTTTCTCCCCAATCGATGTAGGATCTCACAATCAAGAACAGCTCTCGGGCCTACTTTGGAGCAGTTGCCGGTATCTTACTTTGACTCTCTCGCTCAATCCTGCATTGTCCAAAAAGCGATAGGGCCTTGAATACAGCCTCACCCTCGTGTATGACAAATGGGTCTTAGTTGGCTACTAAATCTTTACGGCATCTGCAACTCTTTGACAAAGGCTCATCTCTTGTTCGATAGAATTTCCAAACAAAATTTGTTTATTTGGAATGTTATGATACGAGGTTATGATTGGAATGGACCATATGAGGTTTCGATTTCACTTTACCACCAAAATCAAAGCTATGTGCTTTTGCCTGATAATTTACCTTCCCATTTGTTCTCAAGCTTGCTCAGCTCTTTCTGCCATGGAAGAGGGAAAGAAGATTCACAAATGTAGGATTTATCATCCTGACAGATTGTTGATTGTAGAGACTTCAATGACATCAAATAGACTTTAACATGATGTCTTACGTACTGGGTTGGAGACTGATGTGTTTGTTGGTGCGGCCCTAACTGATAAGTATGCTGAATTCAATTGTGTAGAGACTGCTCGATAGGTGTTTAAAAAAATTGTTGAGGGATGTTGTGTTGGAACACTATGCTTGCAGCTTATTCTCAAAATGGGCAATCAGATGATTCACTTGCTATTTGCAAGGTGATGGCGTTTGTTGGGTGGGATGGAGATGTATTCCTTACTCATAAACCCAGGGTCATTCCCTAAATTAGCCAATGCGGGACTCCCTTCCAACAATCTTCAACCGGAGATACTTGTCGTCCCCATCTCAACTTTATCCGACAGATTCTTTCTTCCTCAAAGGAAGGAGCTTCATGTTTACTGTTGGAGACATGGATTTGAATCGAATGACAAGGTGAAAACTTCATTGGTGGATATGTATGCCAACAATGGCTCTATAAATGTTGCTAGGAGTTTGTTTGAGATGTTGGAGGGAAAGAGGATAGTCTCTTGGAAGAATGCCATGCTCACTGGGTGTGCAATGCATGGCCATGCGAATGAAGCTTTGGACTCGTTTGAGCAGTTGAATGGAAAAGCTCTACCTGATCTTATAACTTTTGTTGGAGTTCTCGTTGCTTGCACAGCCGTAGGGCTGCTTGATGAATGGAAAAAGTACTTCAGATCAATGGTAAGTAGACAATTGATCAGTCTCTACGCTTGTATGATTGATCTCCTTGGTCATTGTGGTCACTTGGAAGAAGTTTACAATCACATTATGGAAATGATTAGAGCCAGATGCTGGCATCTACGGTCTGTTGCTTCACTCGTTCAAAATACATGGCAATGTGGAGATGGGTGAGCTAGCATTAGAGAAGCTGATTGAGCTTGAATCCGATGATGACAGAAACTATATGGTTTTATCGAATATGTACACGCTCAAGCAGGTAAATGGGAAGGAGTTGCAAGACTAAGGGATCTCATGATGTGTAAAGGATTGTAGAAAAGTATTACTTGTAGTTGGATAGAAGTGAGAAACAAAGTTCATGCCTAGGGAAGTAATCTATGACGAGTTAAAATGGATAGGGAAGTAGATGAACGAAGCTGGATAAGCGCTGCAAATTGGGTACAGTTCCCTGCAACTCACATAACCCAACAATATTTGGTCCAACTAGTTAACGAGATCCATGACTTAACAAGAAAGGAAATATAACCAAATTTAGGAAGGAGATATATTCTAAAAGCTGTTGATATGAGGACAGTTTGAAGTAAAAACATAGCAGTGGCTTCACCTGGCCACCATCACCGAGACTGACATAGTACTCAATGAACAAATTTCCTGTGGTGGCTGTGCAGGCCGTATGAGCCGCCCACTGTCGACCACCTCCGGTTCAAGCTCCGACGAGTTTGGGTTTTGAGAAATGAAGAATGCAGGCTGCTTGGGAGGTAGAACTTGAGTAGAATCATTGTTAATCATTAGATAAACATCCAGCATCGTCGGCCTGTCTGCCGGTGCTTGTTGTACGCACAAAAGACCCACATGGATGCATCTTAGAACTTTTGGTTTCTGATCAGAGTTGCAAAAATCCGAATCAATCAGCTCTTCTCCTCTCCCATTCACCCACAGCTCCCACGCCTGAACACATTAAGACTATTTTTCATTAGAATTTAATTCACACTTCAAACTAGCAAACACACAACCTTTCTCCCAACTCACATATCCTATGAGATTCAAAGGCCGTTCTGTGTCATAATTGTTATAGTTCTTTTTGCCTGTTATGATCTCCAACAATAATATTCCAAAACTGTACACGTCTGACTTTATCGAGAAAATGCCCTCCATTGCATATTCCGGTGATATATACCCACTACGAACAAATGGAAATATAAGATTCAATAAATGAAAATATATTAGATACATCAAATAAAATTCACTTACTATGTTCCAACCACCCGACTTGTGTTTGCTTCATGCTCGGATGGTTTAAACACCCTAGCCATACCAAAAATCTGATATTTTTGCATTCATCTCATTGTCTAGTAGGATATTGCTAACTTTCAAATCTCGATGAATTTTTCGTACTCTTGAATAGTAGTGAAGGTAGAGTAGTCCTTGAACTATCCCTTGGATTATGTGAAAACGCTTGTCCCAGTCTAATATTAACTTCTTCTCCGAGTCTATATGTATTCCCATTAAAGAGTAAGAAGAAAATATTTAAATGGATGCATAGAGAATAAAAGTAACGACTGACCAAAGAGGAAGGAGTCAAGGCTTTTATTGGGCATGTACTCGTACACCAACAATTTCTCTTCTCTATCAATGCAGCAACCAATCAGCCTAACCAGATTTGTGTGTTGAAGTTTGGCAATCAAAATAGTTTCATTCTTGAACTCCAATCCTTGCCCAGAATTCTTCGACAGTCTTTTAATGGCTACTTCTAGGCCATCACCCAAAACTCCCTGGAATATATATATATATATAGATTCATAAAAGATCAAATAGTAATTTAACTTAATATTTCAGAAAAAATACCTTATAAACAGGCCCAAAACCACCTTGTCCCAGCTTACAGTCCTCTGCAAAATTGTTTGTGGCAGAAACTATGCTTTCGAAGTCGAAGAACTGTAATTCAGGATTCTTTTTGCCATCTCGAATTTGTCTTGTCATTATTCCTAGAATGGTGAAACCTTCGGATATAGCACCTATCCCGCGAATGAACCCTTTCTTCATTTTTCTGATAACTGTGGATGAAGATAAAGATTATAATGTTGTCAATTCATAGAAATGTATCCAATGAAAAATGATTAATATTGATTTACCTTTCAATATTTGTGTCCTCCATTTGACGTAGGACATAAAACAGAGTAGGAGAAACATTGCAGGTATGCTTAGACCGATAGTAACTTGCACCCATAACTTGCACCCATAACTTGCACCCAAACCGGCAATCCTCCTACACGGACAACAAGTTCACTAGTTAGAAATTAATAACATCTGGATACATAACTTCAAAAGTTCGTGCAGGTTGTTTTTTTTTGTTAAGGTACATGATAGATGTTTATGTTACTAGATGACTCGAACCACTCAACCCAAATCATTAAAATTAAGTTGAGTTAGATTTTTTCGGTTTGGATTGGTTGAGTTTTTGGAAAACTGAAAATTCAGTCTGGTTCGTGGGTTGAAAGTTTTTTTTTTTTTTTTTTTTTTTTTTTTTTTTTTTTTTTTTT